ATATATATATAATTTCTATGCTACTTCCTCCTAGGATTCTAATGAGATTGGTCTTTTAAAATTTTGAATAAATCTAAAATAATTTCAATCTTTTTTAATAATCTTATTTCAGTTATTTAAAATTTAAAAAATAAATTATGAAAATTATGGCTAAAATTTTATAAACTCCACTATATTAAAGTTTTATTTCTATCAAATTATATTTTTTTTATTATAAATCTTATATTCAAGCGCGATAGTTAAAAGCTGTATCTGAATATTTAATAATAAAAGATCATATTAAACTAAATAAATAAATAAATTTAAAACAACTTAATATTTAAATTATTAAATAAATGTATGTCAACTTATTGAGATGAACTCATCTTGACATTCTTCTTTATAATTAATATTTAGTTGCTCTCAAAATTATTATTTTTAAATATTATATTGTAAATTCAATATAATTAGTTATAAATAGTTATGTGTATAATATATTGAATATTAGTATTAGTATGTTTGATATTTAAAATACTTAGTTATCAATAAAATGTGACCCAAAATATATTAACTAAAAGTATAGTTTGTAAAAGTACTTATTATGAAAAGCTTTTTTTATCATAATTCTTTCGTCATTTTGTAAATTTTAAAATATATTAGATTTTATTTAAAATAATATTTAGAAACATGCATGAACAATCATTTTAATTAATCCTTTAAAATATATTTGATGGCTAGGATTGGATAAAATATTTTATGATATATATATATATATATATGATAAGAACACAACAAACTTCGATAACATCAAATATATTTAGTACACAACATGATAACAAATTATATAACCTTCTTATCTTATATGTCATGTATTTAACATAAGTCTATTGAATATAATATAAATTATATTTTAATATAAAAAGAAACTATGATTTGATTTAAGTTACATATAATTTTCTAAAAAGTAGTTTTTAATTGGATAAAATTTACAAATTATGAAAAATGTAACACATACAATCTAAGACCTTTTTAATAATACTATAAGCTTCTATCCTTCAAATTTTAGAGATTTAAATTTGGTATTTAACTTATTACAAATTAATATGTTAAGAGAATTGTTAAGAGCCTAGATCTTTGCAGTTTTATTAATATAAGATAGTTTCTAACTTATTTAACTGCTAAAATTTAAGTTTAATTTTCAACATCCAATTAAAAACTAGTTCAAAAATTCAAGTTTAATTTTGAACATCCAAAAGAAGAATTCATATATATTAGATAATCAATCCAATAAATACTACAAAGTTACAAACAGAACCTGATAGGTTCATGGAGGTACCTTCCATGCTTAGTTCCACAACAACCTCTTGAGGTGAGTAGATTATGCATTTGCACCTATAGTTGTTGGACTATCCTCATAGTCTGAGCATCCAACCTAGGAGAGTTGATCAAACTTATCTCCCTATGAACCTTTGTAGTGATAGAGAGAGGATTGATCGTAAAGTTGGCTCTCAGGCTTAGTTACCTCAATATCACCTTGGGTGATGATCCTCTAAAGTTGGTACAAGGTAGATTTGATGAACATTTCCATCCTATCCTTCTAGTATGGATAATTTTCTCTATTAAAGGTTGGAGACCTTATGAGAGAAGCTCCTTCTGGCAAATACTATCCTTCACTACTTCCTATTTTATATCTTTTCCTTTAGCATTGTTAGATGCTCAACCTTGTCAAAGGCTGACCTCTGATACCAATTGTTGGAGAAAAAGTTGCACACTAGAAGGGGTTGAATAGTGTATATAAAAAACATGTGCTTTTGTAGTGAAGTAGTAGAAGTTGTGACAAACGAAGTACTGAAAATCAACAGACAAAGTGGGATAAGTGTTTTATACTAGTTCGTCTCAAACATAGACACCGCGTCCAGTTTTCAATCTAACCAAATTGAGTTCCACTATCTTATACAAGATACAAGTATTCTTTCATAAGTCACTTCTGGTTCAATACCAAGTATTCTTTCAACAAGTCTCTCTAGGCTAAATCCCAAGTATTCTTTCAACAAGTCTCTCTAGGCTCAACACTAAGTATTCTTTCAACAAGTCTTTTCAGGCTCAACACTAAGTATTCTTTTGCACAAGCTTCTCCAGGTTCAATCCTTACAAATAAATTTGACAAGAATTACAATGATAACTTTGTCTTTTCTAGATGTGATTCTATTAAAATTAAGCACAAATAGTCTACAAAGAATTATTTACAAGAATTTCAATGAAAAGTTCCTTTATAGTGCTTAAGCACAAATAGTTTAGTGATGATTTTTTTCCTTACTTACAACGCTTTTCTTTGTATATGTAATACCTCTGTCTGCTGTTATTTGAAGGCTTAACCCTTATATAGTAGCTCTTGAGATGATGACCATTACAGCAAAGTTAGATTTAAACATTCAAATTTCTTCACAAGTTGCTTCATTTGTCTTCCTTGTCAATCCTAGAAATTACTTTTAATGCATTAAATGTTTATCAGTGAAGTGTGTATCTTTTATCTGATTCAAGCAGTTGTTTATCATCATTTCCTTCTATTTTGAGTGTAGTAAAGTAGTGTCAGTGCAAAGCAGTTGAGGCTAGGGCAAAGCAATCTTTGTAGTGTATTTTCTAGAATATTCAGGATTTTCTCTTTCTTTCCTAACACAATAATTAGACATTTCCTTTTGAAAGCTTTTGTTATCTTCGAGGAAACTTTTTTGTTTGATCTATTAAGGAATAAAGAGTTAATACTTCTTAAAGACTATTATGTTATTTCAACGAGAAATAAATGTGGCATTAATCCAAATGATGCACTTCGTCTTACATATGAAATATGACATTTGCTTTGTCCGAAATAGTCTCCTGAGAAAATTTGTTTATTATCATAAAAACTCATAGATACTCGAGGGATTCAAAATCATCTTTTAATTTTACAAATTTCTTTTTTATTCTTACCATACTCTTGTATGATAATTCTAGGTTAGCAGATTCTTTATGTTTTCTACTATATAGTAATTGTACTATACTAAGTGTAGTGATATGTGGGTTCATTACAAAATATTTATAAAATATGAAATTTATTTGACGAGAAATATTTTTATGATTTTAAGTTGTAACATTTATATTTGCTCTTTATATATATATATATATAAGAGGAGGGATTAAACAATGTTTATGTAATTTTTAGTAACTATTATATTATTTAATAATTTTTAATTAAATGTGAATTCGTTTGAGAACAGAAATTCATTTAAATTTGCTAACAAAAGACGTGCTAAACAATAAAAGTAATAAACTCGGATGGTGTGCACATGCACATTTGAAAAATATAATTCAACATCAAAATCAATAAAAGTCAGCATCTAAAGAACTTGAAAATAAATCTCCCTGTAAACAACAATTCAACCTAAAACTACAAACAAAACACTACAAAAAATTAGTTAATTAGTGGCGATTATTTTCTAGCGGTTTTAATAAATCGCCAAAAAAAGTTGTAATTTTAGGGGTTATCTTGACCCCCACAAAATAATTAAATATTTGGCGGTTTTAAACCGCCACAATGTGTAAGTATCTAATTATCTATTTATTAACTCTTTGTGTGACCACGTGGACAACTTAATTAAAGTATATTTTTATTTTTATTAAAAGAATTAAGTGAGTAAAAATAAAAGAATTAAAGAACTTAAATTTAAAATTAAAAAAACCTAACTTAGAATGCTCCGCGGAAACTTTACCTGCGAAAACCTATCACGCTCAAACTTCTTCTTCTTCCCCCTCAACATAATCGTTCGTGAAGCAATTTACGGTGAAACCATTTCGCAAAGTGTCCAATTTAGGCTTAGTGATTTCGCAAGATCTTCTTTAAGCTTTCTCTTCTCTATGTTGTTCTTCAATCGATTGCTTTAATTTAAGGCAAGTTTTCGATTCATATCCATTTTGATTCCCTATTTTTGATTTGTATAATATTTCATTATGATTTTTTTTCCAGAGGTTTTAGGTGGAGCAAATTTTTCAGAGATCACAAATTTGAGGTGAGGGAATACGAATGTTCATTATTTATTTTTTAACGTTTTGATTTGAAAGTATAGTGTTATTTTCCTTTTGAAATTACGAGTGTTATTTGATTTTGATGTTCTGATTTGAAATTGGCTTTTTCATGATGTTTTTCATCATCATTAATCTGTTGAATTAAATCTATGGTTGTTTTAAGAGAGAGACAACCTCAATCGAAAAGAGTTGCTTATATGTTCCATTGCTGATATGTTCAGATGCTTGGGTCACATTTTCTTGCTTATCTTGTCTAGTTTCTTTCTCATTTTTAACATTTTCTGGCCTAGCAATATTAGCAGGCTCGTTATATGTGACAGGCTTACCAAAAGGCCTTTTATCATGTGCATTATCCTTGTCCATTTTTGTCTCTCTAATATTTTCATGCTTATGTTGGAGCTGACAACTCTGTTCACACCAAACAAGTCCTAAGTAATCTCTTAATCCTAGTTCAGCACAAATCAAATTAATTGCTTTAATTGTTGAAGCAATCACTCTTTCTAATTTCACAGGTAATCAAACTCACACTAGCTGCTGTATATCACTCGCATTTTTTTCCTTAAATAAAAACAGCAAGTATAATGTCATTGTAATTTCTATTGAGACAATAAGAACCTACTCGAAAGCTCAGACTAATATGAAAATATATAACACTTCAATAAATAAAAAAGATAGGAAGCGAATAAAAAGTAAGAGATGTTGTTGTTAATTAAGGAGATAGAGGCTTGTAAAAAAATGAGATCTGGACTAATACAGGATATGAACTGGGTTTTGGATGTTTTTAATCATTCTTAATTGTAGTTTTTTTTTTGGACAAATGTAAAAAAGATCAGAGTAAGATAGTTTACTTAAAGTATTCATAATGAATTTAGGATAAAAAAAAACTTTAAGACATTTTACTGGAATCAGTAATAACAAACAGGGCATTAAAATATTACAATTGCAGTAGAACTTTGTCAATCACAAGCTTGAGTAAATTGTTTCTGGTAAACAAAGTGTTTCTTAGAGTAGGCGAACTTAAAGCAGTTTCAATGGTAACATCAATGATTGTTTATGATATTTGTTATACTATTTTCTTATTAGAGAAAAAAAAAGGAAGTAAAGGTGCAATTAATCTAGTTATCTATTTGTTTGTACTTTGATTTTAATAATAGAAAAACAGAAGAAAGGCATTTTGATTAGTGTTTCAAAATTGAGGTTGAAGCGATTGCTTGATGTATGCCAGAAGTTGAGCCACATGGCTGTGTTTGCTGGGTTTTGTCATTTGTGTTTTAGGATGAGAGATTAGGGGCTATTCAGTTTCAGAAAATGTTTTTTTTTTGTTTTTCACTTTTAATTACATGAATGTGACCATGCTTTTACTTTGTTTCATCTAATAGGAGTAAAATTGACAAAATTTCTTTGGCCTCTAAATATATTAATTAATTATCAATTATAGCACGCAGATGCATCCATTCAATGCCAAGTTTAAATGCTGCAGAAGTATTTGCTACTTTACTAGAGAAAGGCCAAAGTCGTGTCATAAATGCTTCACTTACTCTTATTAGAGAAAGAGCAAAGATTAAGGCATGCCATATTTATGTTTATTTTGCTTGACTATATTTGTGTTTATTTAGTTTTGTGACCCATAATTTAATATTTTATTTTGGTGATTTTGATTATAAGATTTGCATGAAAGAATATAAATGCATAAGCTATTTTTCTCTAGGGAGAACTTGTGCGTGCTTTGGGAGGTGCTAAAGCAACTTCAACTCTTCTTGGAGTTCCTTTGGGACATAATTTATCTTTCCTTCAAGGTCCAACATTTGCCCTGCCTCGCATTAGCGAGGCCATTTGGTGTGATAGTACAAACTCAACTACTGAAGAAGGTAGTCATATGGTTTTCCTTTGGAAAGTAGAAATCTTGGAAAGTTTCATTAGTTTTAGCGCAACTTAAATTTTGCTTTGTAAGCTCATCTGCAAATGATAATTGATTTTTTGCATCAAATTTTGTTAGTAGAAGATCCAAGAATGCAAAACTCTTACCCAATTGAAACCTTGAAATTATGGATATTATTTCTTCTAGTTCTTAAAATATTGGGATTTTATGTTGTTGTGAAACTTCCATGTTGTTAACATTTATATAAAACTGTTATTGCTTTATAAATGAAGAACATGAAAGCAATTTAATACTTTTTCCTTTCTCTTGATAGAAAGAGTAGGAGAAGTGATGAACTAGCTCCTCCTAAGCTCCTCCTAGGCACGGATCCTCTTCAATGGAGATGGAACTAAGTTGTTGAACTCCTTGGACGAAGTTCTCCAGCTGAAGACAAGGTCAAGACCTTGAAGGAAGTATCCAAGCTCAAGCCTCAAGGGATTGCACACTTCAAAGTGTAGGAAACTAGGGTTTTCCTAAGAAACTATGAAGGCACTCTCTATAGCTCTCTCTTAGGGATTTTGGTGACTTTAGAATTGGCTGAATTAAATTCAGATTATCATATATTCAAAAGTGTTTACAATAGGTGGGAAAAGATACACTTATAGGAAGAAACTAGGTTAACTTTGGGCGGCAATTTCAAACTAATCAAATTGGCGCCTAGTTTGAATTTCAAATCTGAATTTGAAATTCAAACTTTGGCTTCCAACGTGACTAATTCAGATGTTACCCTCATTTAGGAGTCATTTAGAAGTGATTTGAGTTGCATTTGAAGCTCACATGGCCGGAACCACTCCATGCCATCCATGTGACTCAAATTCAACTCAAATTACTTCTAAATGATGCATAAATGAAGCCTAATTCTCCTATTAATGTATTCTTCATATAATCCTAATCTAATGACCGAAATACATTGGTCTAATGAATACAATGAATAGGAAAAAATATAAGAAGAAGAATGAGCCCAATATTGGGTATCAAAAGCCCAAAGCCCAAGAAACCCAAAATTAAGCCCAAAACACCTAAACCCTAATCTATGGTCAAAATACAAGACCAACAACAAAGTAAATTCCTATACTAAGAAAATACAATTAAACATGGTGTTCAATCAATTAAAGCCCAAGTGAGAAGCACCCTAGGCCCACCAAGCCCATTGGGCCCACTAAGCTCTGAAGCAGTCAAATCTTCAAGTAACCTCCTGGCCATTGCTCTAGTGGTTGGGCCTTTAGCCCATGCTCTTCCATCATTCCCTCCCTCTTGAGAAGGATTCGTCCTCGAATCTGAAGACTCTTCCTCATCATCACTAGCACCTACAAAAGGTTTAAGATCACTAACATTAAAAGTGGTGCTGACTCCATAATCAGAGGGTAAATCAAGTCTATAAGCGTTATCATTGATACGCTGTAAGACCTGAAAGGGACCATCTCCTCTAGGACTGAGTTTGGACTTCCTTTGATTTGGAAAACGTTCTTTTCTTAAGTGAAGCCAAACCCAATCACCTTTCTCGAAGATCATAGATTTCTTTCCTTTATTCCCTTGTTTTGCATATTTCTCATTTTGA